CATTTTGACGGAAGTTTCAATGGAATTGATGAAAATAATCATAGATGCACATTTTGATGAGTTAAAGAATTAATAATCATAAATTTTTAGTTAATAGACCATGTAAAATGAGGCCTGTTACAATTTGTCTTGATTTCATCGGCAAAGGTAAACGAAGGATACTTAGCTAGCATTATGGTTGGGTAATTTATCCTGTTACTCAATAGGACTTTCTGTTCTGGGCTTCTGGAGGCTTCTGGCCTTCTCCATAGTCGAATTCAACGAGGAAAAAAAAAAGCATTTTATGATGTGGGTTGTCTCACATATTTAAAGAGTGACTTTGACAAAATGTTAGGAATATTAAATTTGTAATCTAAATGATGTGCCACTTATGAGAATGAACACATTTATTAACGTTTAAATAATAAAACAATCATCAACTTCCATGTTATTTAGTTCAAAAATTTAGTCCACAATTTAATCTCTTTAGCATGAGATTCAAACCAAGTATAGCCATGGTGATGGCAGGTGGGAGGGCGGCTAATGTGGCAGTCTTGAATTACTTGAGCTAGCTTGCTCCCGTTGTTTGTGTCCATGAACTGAAATCGGCCACTTTGGGAGCACGAGTGGGAAGACAGAATCTCCTTCGGCCCGATTATGATAAGAAACCTTAGTTTTCCAAGCTTCGTTTAGCGTTCCTGCAGCACCGTCGAACATGACAATGTGTTGACACAATTCTAGATACAAGATATCCCCATCGTTTGGGTCGAAAGCAAGCACACGTACGCCGTTATAAAAGCGGTGGTCCAGAGTCCATTTCATGGAGAGCGGATTAAGCGTAACCATTGTTTTAAGGTTCACTCTGCCAATTAAGCTCCAAAAGTATTTGCCTGCTGCAGCCGGATTATCTTGCTCGTAATCCCAAACACACAGATCACGAAAGGAATCTGAACTATCTTTAGCGAGCTGGCACGTTCGCATACAAGGTCCTGATGACCATCTACACACACCTAGCAAGTCAGATGTTGCTGCATCTTCACCTTCAGGCTTATAAATGAAATGACAATTAATATAGTTCTTACCATCATCTTCGCATCCACCAGTAGCAGTAGTAGTAAGACTCGCGGGAGGAGTGATACAGTTGTCGTCGTTGGAGTAGGGATCCAAACCAATAACAAAGCCGTCGGTGCTCAAGAAGTACAACATTCCATTGAAAACAACTGCCACTTGCCTTGAAACCAAATTACCAACACAAAATTTTGTGTTTTTTTGGGTATAACACTACTCTTTCTGTCCATTTATGAGTCTCGGCAGCAAAAATCTCCGCTTTGAATTGGCCGAGGAATGAATTATACCTTTCATCTCTATCATCATCTGGAATAATTATTCGCACAACCCTGTACCCATATTGATCCTCACAAACACGGCGATCACCAAGGTTGTTGTAGGGATTGCACATGAGTCCAACGATTACTTTGTTGGTGCATTGAGGAGGGCGAGGAAGGGCATGCCATTGCTTGGTGTATGGATAACATATGTAATAATCCTGTTGAACCCATCTCGTCCCGGGGCATAAAAGAAAGCCATTGTGAGCTGCTACCACAATGGGTTCACCCCCTTCGGCTATTGTCTTGACAGGCCCCTGAAAACAAGGGAGGAAACTCAAAGAGAAGTTGCGCTGCAGCCGGTCGCCACGGAGTACTCTTTTGGGCGCCCAAGGGTGCTCGGACGTGGTAAGGAAATCCCTCGGGTTTCCTGGATTCGTGAAGATCAGACTAGTACGACTAACGGAACTCTGCTTATCAATTTGGACACGCAAAAAGCGGTCAGCAAAACAAGGATTGTTAGAAACAAGTCTGCACCAACGCTCACACGCACATGCATTGAACTGCGGATTTCCAGGGAAGCCGACGAAGGATTTCAACCAATATGGAATCATGGAGATCATCGAGATTGAAGCCGATGGTGTTGGTGGTGAGTTTTGATCTTTTGAATCTTTTGGTGCGTCTCATGGGGAAAAATTAAGACCTATGATCGATATCGATGCGTTATCGCAATTGATGTGCAGATCAATTGCAGTTTACACTCCATGCACGTACACGTATATATAAATAGTGAGTGTTGTAAGAATTGGTCGTTGGTCGCTTCTAGTTTTCAGGCAACGGCAGGTCATCCCTCGCTTTTGCTTTTAGGGTTTTCTCTACTAGATATTTTTTGGGCTCTATTAGTTGGACAGAGTATTTAAGTGTGTTGAAACCTTTTATGTATTTTTTTAAGTTTTTTTTAGCCAAAATGATCTCAAAGATTTGCATAACTCCTCATTTTGGTATTTAATATTTGAAATCGATAGAATTTGTCTCTGAATTTGTCCGCAATCAATTATTTTGGTCATTCCATAAAAAATCTCCATTAAATAAGAATAAAATAACAAAAATACCCTCAATTTTTGTCTAATCATTTTGACGTGTTGATTATTAAATTAAGGGTATTTTGTCATTTTGATCCTTATTTAACATAATTTTTCACATAATAACCAAAATGATTAATGATGGGCAATCTTATGGACCACTTTTATTGATTCTAAATCTCAGGGACCAAAGTGAATATTTATGCAAATATCAAATATCATTTTGGCTAAAAAATCTTTCTTTTATTCATTGTTCTACAAATGTCGTAGATAGATACTAAAACTATTATTCATACTTTGTTTGCATAAATGACAGTTTTTTTTTTGTAATGCTAGTCCGTTTTAAGGCTCAATATAAATTGTTATGTCCATTTGGAATTCATTTAATGAAGTACTGTACCATTGACTTAGATTTAGGTAATTTTTATTTTGATACTCCTCATATTCTTATTTAGTTAGTTTTATCCGTGAGAATCGACTTGAGATGTTACGATCTAGATTTAATTTTAAAGAAAACCAATGAAAATGGCTTAAAAACTTTGAGTTTTAACGATACGGACAAAATAAAGGGTAAAATAAATAGTATCATGATTGACTTTTTAGTGTAAAAATATGATTTTTCGTTAAAGTGAACATTATCGAAATTTTTTTTGTTAAAGTTCCCTTAATTTTAAGCAAATTTATTTGGACTCTTACTTTTAGCCCTGTTTTTCAACAAAAAAAAAAAGTACTCTACCATTGACAAAATCAATTAAGGCAGATTAGATTCCATCCTCACAAAATCTGCATGCTAAATGCACAAAGCTGCCTATTTGGATTACCATAGATATCAAATCAAACACGATCATCTCGACCTGCTCCTCCACTGGAATTTAAAATTCCAGTTCATCACGAGAGAGTAGTGTTCACCAATAGTAATGAAATGGCGGGTTTGCCCTGCTTGGTCTGTTTAATTTCAATTGCACCATGTTTTACACGTGTTTGTCATCGATGAGCAGAGGATCCGAATTCTGCTGACCAAGCAACACGAATCGTTAGATCAAAATTCAACAATTACAAACAGAAACACTCTTTAAAAATTATAATAATTGTAACTTTTAGATTTTGATCCAACAGTTCATGTTTCTTGGTAAGCAGGATTCGGACCCTTTGCTCAGGAAACAGGCCCGGCCCAGGCCCAGTGCAACCGGGACTGGTGTCCGGGGCCCAAAATTGAAGGGGGCACCAAAAAAGAAAAACCCACATAATTAGAATAAAAAAAAATAAAAAATTATCCAGCCCAAGTTTGACAAAAGAGTTGAACGACCCATCCCCCAATTAACCCTACCCATTTGCCATTGCAATCTCTCTCTCATTGAAACTGGGCCGCGGACCTCATCACAGTCATTGAAGTCGGCACGACTTCTGCGACGATGACCTCCATCACCTCCGTGGAGTTGAATTTCGTAGTCTTTCGTTACTTTCAAGGAAGAAAATATCGGTAATATCGGAAATATCGGTAGTCCGAAAACACGGAAATATCGATGGAAATATCGGTAAAATATCGATATCGATAAAAATTACATGGAAACCACGGAAATTGTAAGAAAAACTTGGAAATTTTTAATGAAACTTTGTAGGATGTTTATTTAGTCAATTATCTATTAGTTTATCACAAAAAATTGGAAGGAAATGCATTGCATGATGGATTTAACTGATTTAAGTTGATTATATAGCGAGCTGACAAACATTGTGAGTATAGAAAATATGTAGTAATTAATGAAAGAAGTTTAAACACACCATAATCATTTATATATAATTAATTAGTACAATATTTGGAGGTTTTATTTAGGATATTAAAAAAAAAAGGGAAGTGAATAAAATGATGAAGAATAATGTGCCAAATTTGATACTTTAAATTTCTTACACATAAGAATAAGACTAAACTTTAATTTGGATGCCGATTATGTTTTTTCAAGTTTATATATAAAGTAAAAGAATTGAATTTTTGGAAGCCAGGAGTGTGTTCAATTGAATTTTGGCCGGCGTGCAAGGTATCAATCTCTTCGTCTCGTCGAGTAGTACAACTTTCCTTTTTGTTTCACTCAATTTCGTTGAGTATTGAAAAAGTTATACTCATTTGAATCTTACCCAGATTCCGGCGACCTCAGTGGCTTTCGAGGCAATTTCCGGCCAAACCACAACGAGTCAGACGTCGTGTAAGGTACCATTCTCTTCGTCTATTCGAGGGCTACAACTTTCCTTTTTGTTTCACTCAATGTCGTTGCGTATTGAAAAAGTTATACTCATTTGAATCTTACCCAATTTCCGGCGACCTCAGTGGCTTTCGAGGCAATTTCCGGCCAAACCACGGCGAGTTGGCCGGCGTGCAAGGTATCAATCTCTTCGTCTCGTCGAGTAGTACAACTTTCCTTTTTGTTTCACTCAATTTCGTTGAGTATTAAAAAAGTTATACTCATTTGAATCTTACCCAGTTTCTGCCGATCTCAGTGACGTTCGAGGCATTTTCCGGCCAAACCACGACGATTTAGACGTCGTGTGAGGTACCATTCTCTTCGTCTCTTCGAGGGCTACAACTTTCGTTTTTGTCTTGCTTGATTTCGTTGAGTTTTGACAAAGTTATGGCCGTTTAAAGTGGGTGTAAAATTTCGGCCAAAATTCTGATTTTCTCTCCCATTGGGGGAGTCCCACATCGCCCATGTGAGGGCAGTGAGCAAGCAATTTTTCCTATAAAATCCACATTCCCCCAGCTGAGAAAATCCTAGCTTGATTGGCCTTTGGGTTATGATCAAGTGAAGTATATGTTGAGTTTCTCAACATATTTAAGTATTTTTTAATATTATGTTGTGATATTTATTGAAAATATTGAAAATATCGTGATATTATCGATAATATTGCGATATTTTGACGAAAATTATTTGGATAGTTAAAAAAATTTTAGATCTTCAAAAAAACGATAATATCGGTGATATTTCGCCGCTAGTATCGATATTTAAATCCTTACCTTCAGTAATCAGGTATGCTTCACTTTGCAAACCCTCAAATCGACTTTTCGAATTTAATTCCCTAATTTTCTGTTCCCGTTTTTAATTGTATTGTCATTTTAGGGTTTCTGGGAATTTGGGTGTGCTGTACAGAGTATAGGGGTGTATTTATCAATTGCTGTTACATGTTTGCTATTATAACTTAATTAGGGTTGAGAACTATAATTTTGGGAATAAGTTTACAAATTGGCTTCCTGTTGCGTCGAGAGGGCATGAGATTATGGTGTATTTATCAAAGAAACTTTATATTAAGTTATTAACTAGAGCTTACTTCAATTTTAGGCGGATTATGTTCAAGAATACAGCAGCTATGTGGGATTTATGAGGGATGGAGCACAGTGGTTTGTGGAGAACACAGACATTAAACTTGTTGGTGAGATATATATATTCGCACTTATGTTATTTTTTATGACATGTAGTTTCTAACAGTCTGCGTGTATGATTAGGGTAATATAATCTTATACTGAGCTCTTCTCAGTGAGATATAACTGATTATTTTGCTGTTTATGGTATCATTTCTGTTCCTTTTGAAGCTGACGTGTTCGTCTTTTGTTAAATATAGGAATTGATTACTTATCCGCTGCTGCATATGATGATTTGATTCCATCCCACCTTGTTTTCTAGAAGGCAGGGTAAGAAAATCTTTATTTGACAAGACATGAAAGGGTTTTTTCTTTAGTTTATGATTATTTTAACTGGATGAGTTCCAGTTGGTAGATTGTTGAACAGTGGTAAATGCAGAACCAAAAATAGAGGCAACCAAATTTTCGTGTTTTTTCAAGACTCAACCTAACACTGCTTTGCAAGTGGTTTCACCTTTCCCTTTGCCACATGCTTTGGTTTTGAAGCGACCATACATCAACTCATGATTAATCCCCTATTTGTTGCAGGAAATGATGACCCCCTCCAAGGAGAAATAGCATGGAATAGGACGCCACGAGAGCTTGGTCTTTCAGCTTATGCTCTTCAACAACTTGGTGGTTCACATGGTATGCAGTTGAGATTAATTTAGTGGGATATGTTATTTTACATGATTGGATGAATATCTGGTTGGATTTGGGATGTATTGGATGTGTATTTAATGCGTTATGTGATTGGTTTTTTTTTTTTTCTTTTTCTTTCTTGCAGCTGCTACACCAAACCAAATTAGAGAATTAATGAAGGTTGATGGGCTTACTAATGATGAAGTCAAAAGCCATTTGCAGGTTTGTATATTTGATTATCCATCTGTTTTTAATCGTAATTTGGCTGATGTGAATAAAATTTTATACAATCATGACGGAAATTGCAAGCCATTTTGCATGCTAATATTAGTGGTGAATCTTTTTACACATACATGTGATTATCCTCGTTAAATATATTTTTTTTAAACATGTATTTTCGTATTAAAAAAAGGGCACATTTTGAGCTTTCGCACTGGGCACCAAAAAACTCAGGACCGGCCCTGTCAGGAAAGGATCCAAATCCGGCTGAAAAAGCTGGGGTGTTCCACCAGCTTCCTTGCTCTTCTTTTCCTCTTCTGGACTCTTCATTTCCTTATTTTCCATCGACTTCTCAGTTTCTATCTCGCAACCAGCTACAACACCGATTCACCCTCCATTTCTCCCGCTTAGCAAAAGAAAATCAAAGGGGTTCACTAGCATGGGTTCCGTCGGATTCCATAGACAAGGACGTGGTGACCGGTATGATTTTGAGGATTTTGTGTATAGCTTTGGATTCCCCATCATAGTGTTTAATTTTGTTTTATTTTTGACTTTAGGAAATCATGGTTCTTCGGATTTGGGGCTTTTGTTTGCAGCCTTCAAATCCCTATCTAGTTAAGGTGAGTGATTTCAAGATTTTAGAGTTTTGTTTGGTCCTCTCCGCTCAATCTCTATGGTCATATGCTGTTTCAGAAATTTGGACTGTTTGCATTTATTTCTGGGTTTATATGGTGCTGCCTCTGATTGAATTTGTTTTTTGCTTCATGAAATCATCTGAGTTTTATTGATTTGATTGTATTTTGTAAAATTAGGGAGTTCTCTTTTCTTTTTTTTTGGGTGTTGGTCAAGTTTGGTAAATACGAAATATTGGACAGTTGATTGTGGTTGGTGGGTTGATCTGGGTTTTGTTTTACTTATTTAGATTTGAAATGCTAGGGTTTGTGGTCAATAATCCTTAAAATTATCAGAAACCCAGAAAATATCAGGTAGTTTTTGAGTTTGTGGACATATATATATATATATATATATATATATGTAGAAATTCGAAGTGGTTGGTTTATTTTATTTTACTTGAATTATTGCTTCTGAAGGGGGTAGGAAGAATTGGAGAAAATGATGAGGGAGAAGATCAAGATCAGGAAGATCGACTACTTGCGAGCAAGGCAGGTGACCTTCTCAAAGAGGAGAAGAGGGGATTTGAAGAAAGCTGGAGAGCTATGGATTCTGTGTGAATCTGAAGCTGTTGTTATCATCTTTTCCCAAACTGGCAAGCTCTTTAATTTCTCAAGCTCCAGGTACCAACCCTGTACAACATCCCACCGCCTTATTAATTCTTTCGAATTTTCCAATTTGTTTTTGCAATTTTTCAATTCTGCGTAAAGCGGGAGCCTTGTGCACTGCGTAAAGCGAGAGCCTTGTGCATTGGGTACGACCTTTTTTTTTTTGCAATTTTTCAATCCAGTGTTGGACTTTGAGAAATAAGTTTTGGTATTGCTTTTCAGGTACGGATTTTATGGGAGGCGTCTAGAAAGTTCAACTTTGATGAGTCGAAAGCACGGGATGCTAAGGATCGACTTGAAACAGTTGCCTCGCAGGCTCAAAAGGTCGTGTACTTTATGCTGATATGCTTCCTACAATCTTCGGTCTATGATACTTACGAGTGTGGATGTGGACTGCATATAACCTATCAATTTCAAAGCACTAACCTGGGATTCAACATCAACAAAATAATCCAATATAAACATGATATCAACAAAACAATGCAATATAAACAAGAAAAGCACTTTGATTTTAGATCACAAGTTAGCAAATAATCCACCTGGTTAGTGATCTCCTTCAGCATCTTCATCCTCCACCTCTTCCTTGGCCTTTGGTTCTTTCTGTATACAAAAATACGCTGCATGTTTACAGAAGTGTTCGTTCAAAAATTAACTTATAAAAATAAATAAAGAATTACCTTAAATACAGATTGCCCAGTTCTGATGGTACTAGCCAAGTGTTTAATGGAGGATGAAAACAGAGAATGGGAGGAGGATGAAAAGTTTCATACCGCCAAGAAAGGTACGAAGCTTTTCATCCTTCTGCCATTCTTTGTTTTCCTTTCTTTTCTGGCTCTGAATTCACTTCGACATTTCTTCTTATTTGTAGTTTCCGAAATAGAAGAGGGTTCTTGACGGCAAAGAAGCTGATGAAGAAGGAAGAATTGGGTTGAATTTGTAAGTAGAATTCTTGAAGTTTTGTTCTTTAAAGTTTTTATCCATGTTTCCTTTTCCATTGAACCGCTTTCTGCTTATAGTTGTATTTTCAGGCAAGAAAAATGTCAAAGTTTCCGAGGATGAAGTTGTTTCGTAAATTTGGGTATGTGGAAAACAAATGGTTGATCATCCGAATGATCATAATCTCGTGAAAGTGCTCGATTTAGAAAGGATGAAGGCAAAATGGGATGGTGTTGGCCCGACTACGATTTCGTCAGGAGTCGAAAGCAGAAAACGTTTTGATTTAGTTTAAAACGGTTTAATTTAGTTTAATTAGTTTATCTGTTTTAATTAGTGAACTTGGGTTTGGGGGAATAAAACGGTCTCCACGGTCCTCCTTCGTTCCACTTTCATCACCAATTACTTTGAGAGAAATTCAACTAAGAATTTTCCAGTAAGGTTTTGTGACTCAAAGATTCTCTGTGCATGGTAACACCGCACCATTCTCATTGTGCACGTTAACACTACAACATTCTCCAATGGCACCGCCAAGAAAGGTATTAAGCTTGTCATCCTCCTCCCATTCTCTGTTCTCCTTTCTTTTCGACATTCCTTCTTATTTGTAGTTTCCGGAAGAGAGGGTTCTTGACAGTGAAGAAGCTGATGAACTTGAGTCAAGAAGGAAGAACTGGGTTGAATTGGTAAGTAGAATTCTTGAAGTTTTATTATTTAAACTTTTTATCCATGTTTCATTTTCCATTGAATTGCTTTTTGCTTATATTTGTATTTTCAGACAAGAAAAATGCCAAAGAATCCGAGGATGAAGTTGTTTCGTAAATATGGGTATGTGGAAAACCAGATGGTTGATCATCCAGATGATCATAATCTCCTGAAAGTGCTTGATTCAGAAAGGATGAAATGGGATGGTATTGTCCCGACTACAGTTTCGTCATATGAGGGTGGAAGAAAATGGTCGAAGTTGTACTGTTTGTCAGTAAAAGTACAGTTTCGGCCATTTTCTTCCACTGTCCTGTGACTAAACCGTAGTCGGGCCAACACCATCCCATTTTGCCTTCATCTTTTCTGAATCAAGCACTTTCAGGAGATTATGATCATCCGGATGATCAACCATCTAGTTTTCCACAGACCCAGATTTACGAAACAACTTCATCCTCAGGTTCTTTGACATTTTTCTTGTCTGAAAATACAAATATAAGCAGAAAGCGATTCAATGGAAAAGGAAACATGGATAAAAAGTTTAAATAACAAAACTTCAAGAATTCTACTTACAAATTCAACCCAATTCTTCCTTCTTAACTCAAGTTCATCAGCTTCTTCACTGTCAAGAACCCTCTCTCTTCTGCAAACTACAAATAAGAAGGAATGTCGAAAGGAAAACAGAGAATGTGAGGAGGATGAAAAGCTTAATACCTTTCTTGGAGAATGTTGTAGTGTTAACGTGCACAATGAGAATGGTGCAGTGTTACCATGCACAGAGAATCCTTTGAGTCACAAAACCTTACTGGAAAATTCTTAGCTGAATTTCTCTCAAAGTAATTGGTGATGAAAGTGGAACGAAGAAGGACTGTGGAGACCGTTTTATTCCCCCAAAACCCAAGTTCACTAATTAAAACAGATAAACTAAAGCGTTTTAAACTAAATCAAAACGTTTTCTGCTTTCGACTCTTGCTGACCCTGAGGAGCCAAACCAGAGCCCGAATTGCATACGGGTATGGCCCGATTGTGGCCTTGTTGACCTCTACCACGGCTAAGCTTGTCAGCATCGTCACCGCCACGGTGCGGCTATTGGGGGACCCACCTTAGAGAACTACCACGATTCGAGTGATTGCACATTCGGCAACAAGACCCATTTTGTTGTCATCGTCCAAGCTGACATCTCTTACAACCTACTTGAGGACGGCGTTGGACTCGGTGAGCTTGGCGTGGAAGAGCACTTGGAGAGGCGAGTCGAGCTTGGACTCGATAGTGGAAGCTGGGTAGGTAAGCATCGAGATTGGGGTTTGGGGCTAGGAGGGGGAGTGACATTACTGGTGGTGGTGATGGTACGTATTGGTGGTGGTACTGGTGTTGTAAGTTGACAGGGGACATAAGGGTATAAGTGGAAATCAAGCTGCAGAGGGTGTGGTTGTGGATGAGGGAATGGTGGTCAAAAAGAGGCAGTTTGGAAATTAGGCAAGTACTGTGGCTGGCGTCGAGCCAGTTGGATGGAAACCCGATCAAAGGTATGACTCGATGACACGCTCCAACCAGATATCCAATGACAATTGGATGGCATATGCTGACCACCACTCGATAGTGACGAAAGCCATGAATATATGAATTTGTGAGGACATGAAGGAACAAGTAATCCAAAAATCATGCAACAACAATAACCATAAGGAATATACAAACGCTAAGAGGCAATAATAATAATCCAAATTAAACATGAACGAAACATAATGTCTAACCGCTACAAATCCGAAATAAAAGATCTACGAATATGTTCATAGCATACCACTAAATGGAAGTACTAGTCAAAGATAAGACATCAAGTTACATTTATTCATAAAGAAATCATACACAAGTGGAAGAACGCAAGATCACTGGTAGGAAAATGCCTCGATACTCGGATTGTATTCCTTGTCACTATGTCCTAAAAGGGGCGCAAAAACAAAAGATGGGTGGACCAAAGTTTATAATAATTATACCAATAATAAGAAAACCATTTTCTTTCTGAAGATACTAATCCCCTATTTGAAAGCTCATATAGTACTACATAATAGGTTTTCTGAAAACTCTAGCATGCCATGAAAAACATTCGTAAAACATGTACGTGTAAACCAGTGGTCAGTAATAACAATATATTCGTCCGAAGGCAAATCCGTAAAACATCTTGTTGACCCTAAAAACTACCAAGCCTACGTGGCGCGCATGCCGAGTAATTAATAAGCTAACTACGTCATTTGGTTGTGTGCAGGGTGTGCCAACTCATCAGCCGAGCTCGGGCGAGGAGTAAAATGTGTTGATGTCGCGTTGGGCACGATGCTGACTTCTCGATCTTGCGACTGTGGCCGAGGAAGAAACACATCTCGACCTTCGGGTTCTAGAGCCTGAAGACAAGGTTGCTAGTTCTGCAAAGTTCAATTCCAAATCCGGCTTTCAATGTGCCAAATGTAGTAACCTAGTAACACCTCACTTCACCGAGAAGGCTAATGAGATAACCTCTACCAACAAGGACTCGGAAATCCTTGTTGACCAAGACTTGGATAAATAACCAGTCGATCTCAAAGCAGTGTTGTCTATCCAAACTAAAAGTGCTTCTCGATCGGCTGATTCTACAGCTCCAGTGCTGTTTATCCAAACTGAAAATGTCACCGGTTGCCTTCACAGTGCTATTTATTCAAATTGAAGATGTGTTAGTGAGAAGAAATGGGAAAAGGATAAAATTCTCAGAGTTGTTAAGAAGCTTTGCACAGAGCAATTTGTGTGTTGAATTGGATGGCTTTTTTATGTTGCCACTACCTCTGTATTTATAATTCAGTAGTGACCCTGAGATTGCCGTCGTAAGTTACAAAATAATAGGAATATTATCTCTCAAATATGCATGATCTCGCTTGTCGTGGCCTTGATGATTTCATAGAAACCAACCGAAATTCAAACTCCCAAAAGCCTAAGCCTACTTAGACTTCTTATTGCTAATTATCCCAAATATCCATGTTGAGTGAATCTGGCTCCATGAACAACCACATTATGGCCCATGATACAAAAGCATATACTAATATGCTAAATCATTTAGCATAATCAGTAAGATAATTGTTGCCATCTTATCACCACCATGTGTAGAATCATTTTTCCAAGCACATCACCATTTTTACTTCACCCTTATCGTATGCATGCATATCTATCAACCAAAACTGATCCAAACCACACATCCACACGCCAAACATCCAAATCAATTTGAATTGTGCCTACTGTTTCCAGCTTGGAGATATATTTTTCATCTTTCATAAGAAAATGTCAAGATAAATCATTATTAAAAGATAATTATGATAAAAACCATAATATTATCCTTTAATAACAAAATTATCTTTACCTTTTCATCCGACGGTTGGGAGTTATGCACATTCAATGGCCTTGATTGCACGGGCCGATAATGTAATTTTGGGTCCAAACACATCGATGATGTACTCAACTAGGGGTATCATATTCGTCAGAAGGCATAACCATTAGTCAAAGGTGAAGATGTACGACACTGAGTTACTCCAATGAAGAAATATGGTAGGTCCCATCACCCGAAGGTGAAGCTGTACGACCCTAAGTTATACCAGAGAAGAAATAAACATAACACATCGACACTAGCCTTGGTTAGTGAAGCTGTCCGACATCGGTTTCGCCAGTGAAGCTGAGAGTATGTCATAAATATCCTCAATTGTGTCCTATAACCATAGACATCTACATACTCGTGTTGTGTGTATGTATTGTATGATAACCCACTAATGAGTCTCCAACTTAGTTTTAGGAACAACATCTCCCCAACTTTAGCAAGACTGACAAAAGTATGCTTCTTCTTAGTAAGATTTCGTTCTTTCTGAAATTAAAATTTAAACAAAATACAGAAACAAAAAAACAAAACAAAAAAAATTAATACACAAGTTCAAGAAAACAGGAAAATTCATGGATAACGTATTCTGAAACTAAAACTAAAATAAAATAATAAAGAAGCAAACTTACAAAATGGTTCCAATCCTTCATTCTTTCTTCTAATCGTTTCCTTTCTTCCTCGTCATTGTTGTTAAGATACTACAAAATTGAGAATTAAAAAAAAATGATAATTGACAGGGATGGAAGGAATGAAAATTGAAAGAGAAAGAGTGGAATCGTTTGCTTTCTTCCTCGCCAATTGAGAATTTAAAAAAAAATATTGATAATTGAAAGAGAGGGAAGAAATGAAAATTGAAAGAGAAAGAGTGGGGTAGAGAAATTGAAAGAGACCCTTTTTTCTGTTTGAGTGTGAGTATGGGCGCCATGGCTGAACAATTGAAGAGAGCTCGTAAGAAAGAGCACATAGGAATGAAGTGAGAAGCAGATAGAGACAAAAATCAAACTAGATATTTAAAAGATCGGATCCTTTAACAAGTGGGATCCTCATTTTTCAAAAAAAAAAATATAGGGACACCTTCTTGACCGTTGGATTGACTTTAATGAAATTGTGTAGTTGAGATTAAATCACATGCCACACAATTTCATTAAAATCAAATCTAACGGTTAGTGCAATGGTGAGACTGGAACCGCGGGTCGGGGGAATTGGGGAGGGTCATAAAAATATTTGAAGCAATAATGGGGCAGTGGCGAGGGGCGGGCTGGGGCTGGGCCAAACCACAAACAAATAGGATCCCGACCCGATCTGACTCTATGTATTCTCAATTAGCATTTGTAAAAAATCTTCCTTGGCAGATAAATCCTAAAACAAATTAATAATCTAAAGCATTCGTACCTTCGTTGCGGCATATTTTTGGTTCCAGACATGCCAATGACATGCCAAGCCTCACAAAATGTCGGTCATGACATGTCTTCCTTGCAAAACGTCGATCACGACATGCCAAGCCTTGCAAAATGTCTCTTATGCATTAAAATGTTTCAAACCCATCAGATTGGGAGCAGAAGGGTCCATGAAGGAGCTGTCCAACGGGTTGCGGTTTTTAACGGACGGAGATAAGGGCCTGATCACATTTGACAGCTTGAAGAGACACTCTGCATTATTGGGGTTTCATGGGATGAGTGACGAGGAGTTATGGTGCATGCTGAGAGAAGGTGATTTGGATGGTGATGGGAATTTGAATGAGATGGAGTTTTGCACTCTCATGTTTAGATTGAGTCCTGCTTTGATGGAAACTTCTAAAGACTTTTTGGAGGAAGCTCTTGCCTGTGACTTCTAGTTAGGATCTCTTTCTTTGTTATTGTTGTATTAGGGCGTGTATATTTTTTTCATGGCTATTATCTGCATTTTCTGTAGTTTTTGAGCATATCTTTGAAATTATTCTTCTTTAATTACTACGTATATATTCTTAAATTCCATATTATAATACGCCAAATTGTTTCATGTAAATTTGAATGGACTCTTAGTTGTAGGGATGTACTCAATTTTGCAGCTGTATGCTGCCTCTTTCCCCCTTGGAAGGTACGAAACGTAGCGTATCATTCAAAGCAAAATTGATAGGCAATTTCCTTTCATGTTCATTTTGGGGAGGTACTACGTGGAATTTTGCATAGACATCACTTTCTTTTCGGCGGGCAAAACTTCGCAGATGTTGATTAGGTAAACTAACGGCTAATACACATTAGGGATTGTCTTGTTATTTACTTTGATTAGGTAAATGCACAGGGATACTCTTCTACCGTTTGAATTTGGTGGTGGGAAAGAATTACTAGAAGTATTACTTGCAAAGATAGTAAAGGCACTTTTGTGGAATTCCAAATTTTAGTATTAGAGAGTTCTTATTTTCTCAATAAAGAAAAAGAAAAATGAATTCAACTCCATGCAATTCTTACATGATCACACTTTATAAAAGTCATCCTACACAATTCAAGAATTATAATTATTTGGCAACACCATCAAACTAACACATTATGTTACAAGTTACTTGTGTCATAACGTATGTATTTTATCCATGATACCATAAGTAAAAAATATTAGTTCTATCCTCAATTCATATTATAATACTTGACATCGAAGGATTGTCACACGCAAAAAAGTTCCCCCAATTTAAGTGCATCATCAATAAGTTACTGTCATCAACACTTTAAAATAAGTGTTATATTATAAGTGAATTTTGTTGATATGATATTACTAAAAGTGGGAACATCATCAACTTTGTGATCTCATCCATACATACTAACACATAATATGATTATAACATATCATGCTATTCTATATAACCCATAATAACAAGGATTTACATGAATGAATTCACTGCTATATGACATTTTTTATCCAATAATTTATTGTCATGTGCAAGTATTTTCTTCACATAACAATATTTTTTAATCAAAATGCTACGTGACAGTAAATCTGTTTAAGGTAAGGTTCTTTCCACAACAACACATTTTCCAAAATAACAACATAATCATATATATGACTTTATCAAACAAATAATAAATAAATAAATAAACTAATCATATTAATTGTCACAAAATTCTGTATCTGCTAGCTGTCAGAACCATTAGATGCTGATTTGGAAAGTGCCCGTGAATGCCAAAAATGGCCAAGTTTCATTTTTTCACAGGAAAATGCTAATTAATTGCTTACCATGACTACCTGACCCTCTTTATTTTCTGGACCTTCCCATGTAATTTCCGGGAAAGAGAAGCCTCTCAAACATCTCACCCAACTATAACATACAGAGCAAACTTCGATCATGCCGGTAAGCAACAACATAAATTTTCTCTTATCTGTACACCTTAATTTGTTGCCATCCACAGCCACCCCTCTTTCCTCGAAATCTTCCTCATTTTCTCTATTAATTCACTCAATTTCCCTTCTAATATATAAACCACCCACCCTAGGTCACTTTTTCACATATAAAATATTCGAAATTCCAATCAGAGTCACCCTCGACAAACTATAGGATAATAAACCCTAGCCGTAGTTTCATTTCCATCAAATTTTCACTTTGGAATCTATTAAATCAAATGGCTTGTCGAAATGGGGTTATTGTGTTTGAAGATTTCTTTCCAGCAATGGTTGAGAAACTGGGAGCAGAAGGGTTTATGGAGGAGCTGTCGAAAGGGTTTCGGTTGCTGACGGACGGAGAGAAGGGCGTGATCACGTTTGAGAGCTTGAAGAAGAACTCGGTGTTGCTTGGATTGCAAGGCATGAGCGATGAGGAGATCATGTGCATGCTCAAGGAAGGTGATTTGGACGGTGATGGCACCTTGGATGAGATGGAATTTTGCACCCTCATGTTCAGATTGAGCCCTGCCATAATGCAAAGTTCTGAAGAATTATTGGTGGAAGCTTTAGATATGTAATGAAATGTAGGATCTCGAGAATTTCATGTTCTTTAATTTCTTTGGTGTTCATCTAGTTTTGTAATTTCGGGTAGCTTAAATAATAGAAGAGACTACTCTTCTTTGCATTATTTGCTTTTTTTTATTCGAAAAACAATTTTGACACTCTTTTAAAGCTGCAAACGCTTCAAACAAAATAAATTTTCTCACGTGAATTTATTGTTTTAATCCTTTTCCCCTGAATTCAGTTATGCAAAACTACCAACTCTGAAATTTTTTCCATCAACTAGAGGTTGAATTATAGATTTACCAAAACAGAGATCAATATGGGAGGTCGATTGGGGTTCGAGGAAGATCAGTTTCTCCCATTGTGCCATGACAAGAGCCGTGGGAGAGCAATGACAGTTACTATTCACTCTAAAAAGTAATTATCCGATTATAAATTTATCCGATTAAAGACTGTCATCGTGGTTATCCAATGACAATGCCAATGCCATGACAATTAGGCAATAGGGGGGGGGGGTGCCTTATAATTTAAATTGGGTGTCCTAGTCATAGGATCACAATATTGGACTCTTATGAAATCTGAATCAGGTTATGGCCTAGATGGAACTAGCCCAGCCCACTAAATTTAAAATAAATTAGGGTTTATTTGGAACTGCTTCTAAGATGCAAATGTTTTATGTAAAATGTTTTTGGAATGGGTAATGTAAGGGAGACTAAATTTAGAGACAAAGTTTTAAAAACTAAAGGACATGGAAGTTGATGATTGATTTATTACCTTAACATTGATAAATATGCTTATTCTTATTGGCGACTCATCATTTAGTTTGCAAATTTAATCTTCCTAGCATTCAATTTTTTTTTAAAATGCAAGTGAATCTTGAAAAAACACTTGAAGTGCTTTTGAAACCTGTAAACAGTTTCTCTAAAAGTATTTTAAGTCATTTTAAACCCTTCTAAACAAGCCCTTATTAATTTGTTCGGTCTTGTTTGAAAATTTAAATAGAAACTTCTAACACATGAAGGTAGCTACCAATTAGTTAATAGTCAAGTTATTTCAAAGGCGTAAGACCGGCATGAGAATGAGATCAAACCCCGTTCCCATTGAATTTTGAGTTTGGGAAATAGTGGAAATCATCTCATCTGCAAATCTCTTATCGAAAGATGAGACCGAACATAAGACTCACAGTCATGCATGATAATGCTCGTAGCATAATTACTTAAATTACAATTATGTCATTATCCATCCACCAACAAATTTGGTAAGTTGGGTCCTATACACAATAGACCGAACATAGGACTCACAGTCATGCATGATAATGCTCGTAGCATAATTACTTAAATTACAATTCTGTCATTATCCATCCACCAACAAATTTGGTAAGTTGGGTCCTATACAGGACACAGTACATGAAGCTATTAGGTTTACAAAGCCTGCCCACAGAGTCAAGGAACTACTTGGTCCACTGGGTTGGAAAAAGAAAAACAGTGTGTCACAACCACCCTTTGAATTCTGCTGCTAAAAACCTCGACCACAAATATACATGTCCATGTAGGCAAGGCTAATGAGCTATAGTTATCCAATTTTCAAGTTGAATGGAAATGGACATTGAACACCAGGCCACTTCCTACTCCCTATTCCCTATCCACACGTTTTGTCTTCCTATCTTTCCGCTACGCAATATTGCAACAGCGTCAACCACGAATTTTGGCCGAGCTCACAAAGGTTGATGGGTTTTTAGTACCATATGTATGACATACACCATCCGAAAGAGATTTACCTACTTTGGAAGATCTTATCATCATGATACTTGTCTTAAACTAATCATGTAACATTAGAGTTTTTTATTGTTTGGGAATTTTATTTCTAATTAATTTTGTATCTGATAATGTATAATTGACTTAACTTGTAATAGTGTCATATTGTCATGAATTTGGATCCTTTCAGATTTCACTGTTCAGAGCTTACAATTTGGAACATTTAAAATGAATCCAACGGTCTCCATTAACTCATTCGATAGTCCATCTCGCACAAATTGAGGATCCGAATTATTTTTAAGCTACCAACTACCAAAGTGACTTCCTCTAATTAACCCAAATTTTAGAAGCCACGTGACAGCGTTTGTTCTAATGAAAACCAAATTTCAACCTCTAAATTAATCATCACAACTACCCAGAGGAAATATTTTTAAAGCTTACAAACGCGTGAGTCCACAAGATTTTGTAGTTCACTGCAAATTAGACACCTGTGTAGTCTCTATAAATAAAACTGACACTTTGTGGTGTTGAGCTTATATGTCTTTGACAATTTCACCCATTTCGGTGTCTAAATTCAAAGAGCAGTGAGTGCATGCACGACCAACCACAGATTTCTTGAATTGGGCCCAAAGGGTGTACCTCTACTCTCTACTCTTTAATAGTAGCGCTACGAGATTCACTCCAAATTTTTGTGTCAGGAGTTCATGGATTGAGAGAATCAGATCATTCAATTTTAATTTTGCGGTCTTCATTAATTTACTTTACTGACTCACTTCACAAACCTAAAAACTTAAATGATCCAGATCTCTCTTTGTCTCTCTTGAAACATCTGAATCTCTTAATTCACAAACTCTGGACCGCGGATTTCATTCCTACCCCACACCAATACATCCACTGCAAGGTTGGTGCCATTTGATGTGGCAAATGACTTAAACATAACCAAAAAAAAATTGAACTCATTTGTTAAAAAAATACATTACAAGATGTGTAAAAATTAACTACTTTATAAGGTACTACTACAAGACCTTAAAAACGCAAAAATGATATTCTTATCATATATATTTCATATCACATTTGTATTATCTTTCTAATAGAGCAGGAACTCATATGAGTCTAAACACTCAGTACTACATAACATTAAATGCTACGAGCATTGAATGATTTAGATTCAATGAACAATATAATCCAAACCAATACATATCATCCAATGCTCATAATATATAATGCCTACATCAATGTTCTCACTTTTTACAGGTTCCACTTAGGTGCTATATATATATATATATATATATATATATATATATATATTAAATGCTACGAGCATTGGATATTTTAGATTCACTAGACAACATAATCCAAATTAATCCACACCATTCGATACTCATAGCATTTAATGTTCCGTAACATGGAAGCATTTTTTGGTTGTTATTGTTAAAATTCGTCGGATGCTTTTATAATTGAAAATATGACTTTAGCCCCTAAAACTTAATTTTCTCCACATAAAACCCGACATGTGTTTTACTTGAATAAAACCTATTGACTATATTCTACATCAGCAAATTCATTAAGTATGTTTGACTTCACAAATGTAAATTTTTTCAGATGCCTAAAATACCCCTATTTGAATGTTTGATGTACATAATTAATGCCATGCGGATTGTAAGGGAGAATTAGTGATTTTACAAAAAAAAAAAACATTAATGTTGTTAATTCATTGCCTAATATATAATAACATAAAACATGTCTAATATATGTTATTATACATGCTCATTTAAGTCAATAAAATCATATTTTACATATTATTAGGTAAATTATTTTACACACACACACACACACACATATATATATATGCCTGATATATGTAAAATTCATGTAAAATAATTTACCTATATAAAAAAAAATATTTGATTCAAATAGTGCACCTACTATTAAAATTTTAAAATGTTAAATTGCTTTAAAAAAAAAGAAAAATAATTTACCCAATATATGTAAAATACATTAAAATAATTTACCTACATAATAACAAAACCTAATATATGCAAAATTTACCTACATAATAAACAATATTATTTTATTTGATACTAATTTACCTATTATTTGTACATATAATAAGAAAATGTGCATATAATAATAAATGTGCCAAATATATATATATATATATATATGTATATGATATTGATATATACAAAATTAAATACCTACATAACAAAAGAATGCTATTTGATTCAGAATTAATTTACTTACAAAATAAAGTAATGTTGTTTGATTAGAAGTTAATTTACCTATTATTTGTACATATATCTTATAATAACAAAATGTGACATATAATATATGAAAAATAAGTTACCTACAAAATAAAGGAATGTTATTTGATTCAATATTGATTTACCACATAATATATATTATTGGCTAATCATAAATTATAGGTAAATTAATTACATATAATAATTTTTAACATATATGTTAGTACTATGCATATATATATATTTATTTATTTTAACCTAAAGTAGTACTATATACTTTTGAACGTGTATATATATGTTAGGGGTAGTATGTGCAATAATTATTTGTGGTGAATAATAATATTTATTGATTTGATTTGAATATTGTGGCACAAGTTGTAAATATTTTGTAAAAATAGGTCAATTACCTTTTTACTTGACAGTCTTTTTCAAATTTGAATTTTATTTGGATATTTAGAATTAGGTGGGTATTTATCTAAGAAATAAAAGTTGTAAGGGTTTATATATAAAAAACTCTTTTTTTAATCTGTTATTCTTTGGCAGTTTAGCCAATAAACTTGCCTCATAAACTTAGAGCAATTCCACCGGAGGGCTTTTTGCCCAGCACCCAGCCAAATAAATAGGCCAGCACACAGGGAATCCCATCCAGCCGACCCAATTGCCCAGCACCCAGCCCAAGCCGGTCTCTAGCCCAGTCCAAAATTGACTGAGGCGTGGCCCGGTCCATCTAGCCGACAGGTGGGGTCCGCGGCGCAGGCCCACTCAGTTCTCAAAGGAGAGGCGACGTGTCACGCTATATGCCATTAGATTTCCAACGGCTAGTTTTTCTAGACCGTTGGATTTCTAATGGTAAAAAAATTTTAAATTTGACTTTTAAACTGGACCGTCTGATCACAGATCAACGGTCCACGTTAATTAACTAAATTAATATTTATTAAAAAATACAAAAAAATTATTAAAAAATACATAAAATTAAAAAAAAAATTATTTTTTTATTTATAAATACCTAACCCTCATCTTCCACCTTACACCACATTTCAATATTTTCTACACTTTCTACCAAAGCTTTCATATACTTTTTGTGTGAAAAAAAATACCAAAAAGCTTGTGGTTGAAGAATAAAGTGTATTTGATGAGTTTATGTAATTTCATTTTAGTGTGTTTTTTTTTATAGTTTATTTGATGAGTTTATGTAATTTTATTTTAGTGTGTTTTTTTTAAGTTTATTTGAAATTTTATCTGAAATTGGTTAAAAATTCTTATTCGAAATAAACTTAAAAAAAAAAAACACACCAAATAAATGCGCTGGGTGCCAGCGCATTTTTTTAGGGGTGGAGATGCCTTGGCCTATTACTGTTCACTCCAGTCTATTACTGTTCACTTGAGTGGATAAATGCGCTAGGTACTGGCACAAAGTCCTTAGGGGTGGACTTGCTCTTAAGGAGAGAGAGTGATTCGTGCACTTTCCCTGCTCAGAAGAAGAAAAGAATTCTTCATTTTTTTTATAAAAAAGAAAAAAGAAAAAAGAAAAAACCAGGGCCGGTTTTTAATACAAAGAGCTGCAACTTGGCCTGCATCATTTGTTTTCAGCTTCTTCCTATATATATATATATAAACATACATATACACACACAGAGCCACGGATATAATATACACACACACCCAGGGGCTTAACAACATAGAGAGAGAGAGAGATGAAGAAGTGCGAGCTGTGTGACTCTGCAGCAAAAATGTACTGCGAATCCGATCAAGCTAGCCTCTGCTGGGACTGCGATGTCAAAGTTCACGGCGCAAACTTTCTGGTGGCTAAGCATTCAAGAACTCTGCTCTGCCAAGTCTGCCAATCTCCGACCCCCTGGGTTGGCTCCGGTCTCAAGCTCTGTCCAACTGTTTCCGTTTGCGAGAATTGTGTCAATAATAATGAAGGAAATCATCATCAAGACGAAGAAGAAGAAGAAGAAGAAGAAGAAGAAGAAGAAGAAGAAGAAGAAGAAGAAGACGACGAGGAAGAAGACGAGGACGAGGACGAGGAGCAGGATGATGGGGATAAAGATGATGATGATGACAACCAAGTTGTTCCATGGTCTTGTAAGCCTCCTCCGCCTGTGTCTTCAAGTTCTTCAAGCAGTAGGGAAGAAGAATGTTCCAGTGGAAGCATGAGCATATCCAGATCAACAACCAGAAGGGAACCCAGGTTGACCAGATCAAATAACCAACTTAATTTCAAGTGAATCTTTTCTACGAGTGATTGTTAAAATTTCAATGGGGCCATCGATCCTGTTATGTAAGCAAATTTACTGTGTTAACAAATTATTATGTTTGTAATAAGTCCAAGCCACTAACTTTTTCCTCAAAAGCATTGTAATTTAGCTTTGTCATTACACATTTTTATCCATTTTGTGCACAAAGTTCTGCAAGTAGCCAACTTCATTGCCATTGGTGCACATTGGGAATGATTTCCGTACATCCATTTTAACTTTCTAAACTCTTATATTTAATTTTATCCATGGATTTTTCTCTCAATTATTCAATTTAAGGGGCGATCGGAGTTAAAAGATCACTCCTCCTCTAAGTGGAGATCATACTGAGACAAGGATGCCATTTTTTAATGTCTCGAATTAATCACGAACTGTCATGTGGAGATGTTAATGCTTATAACAGTATATGACTAACTTGAGATGTCTTCAGAATAACATCACTAGTGTAGGGGGATTGGCGAAATATTACATTGTCATCAAAATGTACACACATACAACGTGATGAGTGAGACACTCAGACAAGCGCATACAAAATATTAGAATATAATTTGACCTTACAAGTGGACCAATGCTTCACTTTAGCATCCTTAATTCCAATCAAATTAAATTATATTGATACATTTTTAAACTGGGGAGGGTTGATCTAAGCAGGTTGTTACTAGATTTGAGGAAGGCATACAAAATTGCTTCGTGTAAGAATATTGTATTACAAAAGGAAAGATTCTCTCGTACAACTAATTTTGAGTTTTTGTGACATTATTCGAACTATTAACTTTTGTTATGTATCCATAAAGCGAAACATCATTAAACATAAGTTTGATACGTGGTAAATTTTAAGAAGAGAATATCTCTAAGCTTAATCATGGGCGGTTGGTGGGGTAAAAGCATGGAACATGACCTCGTGGGGTACCATTAATCATGATTTAGCAAATAGTATTTTAGTTGCAAGTTGATTAGTGATCGTTAAGAAAGTTAATAAACAAAGATTAAGATTTAATGAAAAGAAACAAGGAATCAAGAAAGGGGCGGAGAGCGTCCTTGTGGATTTGTTTTGTGGTGGAAAATCGAAATTCTTTGCTTCTACTTGTAGAGGGAGAATATGGTTGTGGTGGTGGATCCAATTCAAAAGTTAAACATCTTGAGATGTGTGATATTTTGGATTTTTGTTGGATCGTCTCATTTACGATTATGTGTAACTTTTTTGGTCATTTGGTACGACTGTAATTCTGTTCGAAATGTCCACTTGCTCACGTTATAATACTTTTTTTTTTCATTATGAACTATGACACATCAACTAGGTTGTATACTTAGATTACTACACGTTAATTAATAACACTACTTGTATATCGTCATTTACTTACCATCACCTAAGTAACTTCTTTCTTTCAGTTTAGATTGCCAAAACAATGAAATCATGATCATTGTAACAAGAAGACCCAACGAAAATTCTATTATGCTCTGTTGTATCCCATCCATCGAAATTTTTTGCAGTTAATTCTTGGTCTAGAAAATCTCCCTGACCGATTCTTTGGGTTAGAGTTGGCCGATCTTTATGAGGAAAATAGACAAACACTCCGCTTGCATATGGCAGCGAGCACAAAGGGTTGTGAACACAATACAAGTGTTATGTGCAGTTAGACGGCGACGTGATCTGGATATCGAGACCTAAGAAGGTGGTATATCTCGAAATGAGAGAGATACTAATACGAGGATTATCACCCTGTTAGAACCTACCCTAAACCCTAAGGAAAGATTGGGCCCTTGGGTCAGTGGAGGTCCTCAGGTATGGGCCTTAAACCGCATTTACCTTATAAAACCCCCAAAGGCCCAAACATTTACCCTTTCGAATATTTTGAATCACGAATACTAAAAGATGAAAGTGCAGGCTTTGTATGTGCAGAAAACTGGAAGGAACAACAAAGACAATCCATCCATTATTCATCATCCCGGAGCTTCATAAACATGGAAGGCAGTGAAAAGGTGGTTGAAACAACGATCAGTAGATTCAGGTAGCCGCCACAGACCGGAATAAAAGAAATTAAAAACAGAGACTCAATAGTACTGCCACACTTTTTCATACAACATGATTACACACGAACCAGGAGTATTTGATCAACATCATCTGAAAGCTCGTCCAGCATCTCCATCTGTTGTTCAGCGCGCCTTATCTGCGTCTGCAAGGCATAAATTCGGTATCAATTTTCAACCAAAGTATTGAGAGAGAGTGAGAGAGACTCAAATCATTACAAGGTAAACCATATAAAATGTACGGTAAAAGCTCTAACGAAATGAACTTATAAACAACACATGGGCTTGCTACTCACGCATAGTTGGTCCAAAACAATTGGTTCGAGGATAAATGCCAACAAATAAAGGATGAATTTCCAGATTACTATTGAACACTGAGTTGACTTAATCCTTCTGCACGGTAATGAGCACGAAGAAACATTTCACCAGATAATTCAATACCACATGGCCATCAGTATTCTGAAGAAACAACCTACTATATGAAACTCATCCAGCCGACTGACAATGTGGACTGCACGTTCAATCAAGATGCCTAAAATCATCATGAAACGCTTTTCGTTCAGTGTTCTTAAATCCTCAGTTTCCACTAGAAGAAACTTCTAATAAAGCAGGTTTCAGATAGTACAATGTATACCACACACTTAGCAGCACAACGATTGAAAGAATGGTAGTTAGGATCCACATTGAAAACGCCGAACACTAGCAAGGATACAATGCATACAAGCCCACGTAACATGACATCACAACTAGTAGTTACAATCTGCCATTTTTATTTGCCTGAATATTTATCAAGAATGGTAGTAGGGATCCACATTGAAAACATGAAGCACTGCCAAGGATGCTCCTATAAAAAACACTGGTTTCTCCTATTAATGCATGTGTTTTTTCCCCTTCTTTTTGGGTATATATTATTAGGAATGTTGGTCGCAAAACTTTAGTTTGTTTCAAAAGTATAAATACCATCAAAACTAATGTTTGTGCAACCGACCTATACTGATATTTCAATATACCAACAAAAAAAGAAACTAATGTTTGATGCCATGAAACATCATTTATAACGTGATCCCAATAAGGTCCCATGCAACCAACATAGTTCAACATGGACTTAAAATTCCACCACCAAGAAAATGCTCTAGGAATACAGATGCACTAGAAGTCAAATGAAAACTTGAGACTCCGAATACCTAGTTGCTATATTTTACTAGAAGTCAAATGCGTGTACTTCAAGCCTTTAAAGGTTCAACTGGTGCTAAAACTAGACAATGAATGCTGAAACGGCCTTAAACTTGATGTCTCAAAATCTAAAGGAGAATGTTAATGATGAAGCCATTATTTGTGGATTACATTTAAATCAGAAAAATGAAAAGCGACAAGCAAGTGGATCATGCCCTTGCCTCACATCCACCCAGGTGTTTAACTACTACAACTTATCACTCTCGGAAAATAAACTGCCACCTACTTACGTGTATTACGTACTAAACAAATATGTTACTTCGGAAAGAATGACAAAAAGAAAAAGAAAAGGAAACCATCTAATTAACCCCGACATGACAAAGAAGGCTTTTATGACGTCTCTTGTTCCTGAATGCAATGTTTTCGGTACAAGAGATAAAACAAAGGAAACAGACAACTTTGTCAACTTGTGGATTTGCACTGGCTTAGATGGAGCCTTAAAGAATTGGACCGCTTGAGTAAACAAAATTCGGAAAGCAAGAACTTTAACATACTAGAGCATATCATCATCAAACATACTCAGGTTGAAAAGAAATTGAATGAAGAAAGTAGTAAATTTGATGGATTTGAAGCAGGATTAACAACTAATAAAAAATTAATCCAAAGATACTCTCGAAGCACGAATCTTTAATCAGACATTAATCCAAAGCTAATCCCAATCAAACGCAGAACTACGGTACTAATACTAACCATGAAATTTGATGGATTTAAAGCAGGATAACAACAAATGATGTTAATAATCGAGAATTAAAGAAGAATAGCAGAGCGAGAGAGCTTAAAGTTCAAACCTTTATCCAAAGCGTCATGAAACTCCGGCTCCTCCTCAGGCACGACGGGGCAGTCCAATTTACCTTGCTTTTCAGCGTCGTTTTCATCATCCTTGTCATCGGAGAACCTCACGACGATAACAGGACAGACGCAGTGGTGCACACAGTAGTCACTGACACTGCCGAGCCTGGCCTTGGAGGTCCGCTTCGAAGCCCCGAATCCCCGGCTGCCCATCACGACGGCGCTGAGGCCGAGCCTCTCGACCTCCAAGCACAACCGCTCCTTCATGTCGTGGTCCTTGACTATGTGGATCTTGTACGGCGTCCTGGCCTCCTCGAGCGGCCTGGCGAGGTCGTTGGCCTTGGTGACGGTGAAATTATCGAAATCGTCCTCGAGCTTCTGCTGGGACTCCTGGTCTTCGGGGATGGAGACGTCGGTGGCGCCCCAGTCGGCGCCGTAGAGGACGCTAGTGGGGCGGACGTGGAGGAGGATGACAGCATCGCCAGGGCGGAGGTAGTTCTGGACGGCCCATTTGACGGCGAAGGCGCTCTCGTCGCTGAGATCGACGGCGATCCCGATTCGGCGCTGGGCTCCGGAGGTGGGCGTCCCGCTCGGAGGGTAGCGAGGGGACGACGGTTGGACTACGATTGCAGCGGCGGACTGGCGATCTCCGGGTTCTGATAACGGGCTCTTTCGGGGAGAAGCCATGGGGAGTTGATTGGAATATTTGGAAAGAAAGACGGCAAAAGGATTCAGGTGGTTTCTTTTGAGTAGAGAGAGAGTGTGTGGAGGTCGCAAATGTTTTCAGGAAAGAAGAAAGAGAAATTATATCGTTTTATACTTCCATTTTGGGTAATTTTTTAACTGTGCTTTTTGTCAATTAGGTCTTAAGGCAATTTTTTTTTTAACTAAAGGTCTTAAGGCCAATTAAATTATGGTTCAAAAATAAAATAATATACTTTTATCTTCTTTTTTTGGGGATTTATTTATTGAATTTTACATTTTTTTCTTCAAATAACCTAAAATAACAAGGTTTTTTTTTAAACAATAGTATATGAGATTGACATAACTCGTCATTTTGATGTTTGAGATTTGAAATCAATAAAAATGATCTTTAAGTTTGTCCACCATCAATCAATCACTAGCATATGGGCACACACAAAGTGTGTGATAATTTTTTTTTAATTATTTTTTATAATTATAGATATGTTATGATTACATGGGGGTGATGCTTTGAAAAAAAAAATAGCAAAATTTGATTGTGTGAAATTACATTTCTGCCCCATATTTCTTATTCATATTATGTTTTAATTAAAGGGTTAAACTTGTAATTTTATAGAATTTTGATTGACAATTAATGTTTTATTAATTAATAGAGATAATGACCAAAATTGAAAGTATTTTTATTATTTTATTCTTATTTAATGAAAAATATTTACAAAAAAACTAATTTTTTATTACGAAGAGACCAAAATAATTTATATTAGACTCAGTAACTATTTTAAATCACAAAAATTAAAATGAAAACTTATGTCAGTAACTATTTTACCTAAAAAGACAAATAATAAAATGACAATTTGAGCTACGCTAACGTGCGCGACATGTCGTTTCAAATGGCGGTGCTAATAAAACTCCAAAATCCAAATCCGATTTCAAGTGTTCCCCCAAATTGATTAGGGCTGCTTTTGCATCTCCCTCCCCAAATTCTCAAATCGAAAATCCCAGAATCCACGATCAGAAGAGTTGGATTTTAATCCAAATTCCCAATCATCCGCTGAGAAAAGATGCCGCAGAGGCACTCGAAGAACAACAACGACCTCGCTTTCTTCACCTACGACGAGAAGAAGAAGCTCGGCTATGGAACCCAGAGGGAGCGGTTGGGCAGGGACTCCATCAAGCCCTTCGACGCCTGCTGCCTCTGCCTGAAACCCTTCATCGACCCCATGTGCTGCCAGAAAGGCCACGTCTTTTGCAAGGAATGCATTCTCGAGTGCTTGCTTTCTCAGAAGAAGGATATCCATAGGTAAGTATGCCGCTTCTCCCTCTTTCTCGAACTCTCTGTTTGCGCGCAATTTTGATTGTTATTTGTCCAGTCCAATTTGGTGTCTTTTTTTCCTGTGAATTTGACTTTTGATGTGTTGAATTGCTTGGTTTTTCTGTTGGATTGAGATTTTGAAGTGGCTAAGAGCTTTGGAGTCGGAGATTTAGGTTTCTAGATGATATGAGTGTTAGGGGGTACCCGAGACCGAAAGATTTCAGCTTTAACAAAGTGGAAGGTACTTGGTTGTGAAATAAACCAACTTGAAATGCATAGAGAACACTAATATCTTTTGAAAAACCCCCGTACTGCATTGAATCGCAAATTTCGAAAGTGGGATTTTGCTTGGGGATCATAAGTTCAGTGCCATCTGTATTTGTTTTTTCATTGGCATGAATCCCTTCAGAAACAAGCTTGCTTTGTTAAGGCATAAGTTATAGGACCCGTCTTGGAGGTTGCCATAGGGTATCCCATTTGAATTACGTTCTGCCCTGCCGTGTGGTATGTCTCTCTAGTCCATATTTTTAGGTGACGAAAGTTTTTTCCTAATATGCTTGAGTCTGTTTTGTTGTCACATCAGAATGTGATGTTTTTGTTACTATTGTTTACTACTTCAACGGGGTTTTCTTCGAAGGGATTAAAGAGGTTCGGAGAAATACGAACTATTTTAATTTAATTGAAATGGTGTAGTTTTGGTTCCTTGAGATCCCCTCTTGACTGTTGTTTATTTTATTTTAAAAAGTTTACTATTATTAGGGGGAGGGGGAGAGTTTGAAACTAATACAGCAATTTAGGGGAGGGGGAGTTTCAAACCCTGGACGCATGGGTAAAAACCCAACACCTTGTCCCCTCTTGACTAACATAATCCTTATATAGCTCTTCTTTATATACTTGGTTGGTGGTATAGTTTTATATTCTCATTACTGAATGGGATTGCTTTATACTGGGGAATCTGGTTCATAGATTTAGTGTAATTCCCTAGAGTCTATTGGTTTTGTGACTCCTTGGGAGACTTCAAGAGAAAGTGGACTATGAATCCAGTTATTTGTATAACGGAGCCAATTTTGGGACTGTAAAACTAATTTTAAGCATTTAAGCGTGGTTATAGCAAATGCAACCTTCTGCTGGTTGTTAGCTTTGTAGTTGCCTGTTCTTGATGTTTTTTGGTTTCCACGAGGCTTCCTATGGAAGATGTGAGTTTTGCCCAGCTTGATGATGCCTTTTGGTTTTATTTCCTTTCAGTAGATCTTGAGTAAAATTTCACCAAGGTGTATTATATATCTAGAAATTCTGTTACTTATATGGTTTGTGCTTAAGGTGTTTCTTCTATCACTCAACACCACAAACTTTTTGATTCAAAGGTTTCAAGGAATAACAGAGGATGGAATAATGAAAAAAATATGCATTTTAAGGATATGAATGATGAAAGTGCTAATTCAAAAAGCATTCCAGAGTTGTGGAATAAGTCAAGGTCTACCAGTCCCCCAGAACAAAAGATCCTTTTACTTTGTGGCCCTCCAGGGCTTGGGAAGACTACACTTGCACATATAGCTGCAAAGCATTGTGGGTACCGAGTGGTGGAGGTATGTTGTTCACTTCATATCTGCGCACACTACTCTTATCTGCGCACACATAATCGTGATTAATAAAAAGAATTCTTTTAAGAAATTGTCTTTGCATGAATCATTCAGTATCATTTGTTGTGTTAGCTGGAGTTACTTGTCAGGATATCATTTGGTCCTTAAAGTTTTCCCCATTTTTCGGTTAGATAGGATCGGAAAGATGAATTCCATTCCCAATCCAAAAAAGTTTCGGAATCAAATATTAGCTCCAATTTTGGAATTTTGGAATTTTGGATTATTGGAATTTATTGGAGTTTTCAGAATTGGTTTTATCTCGGAATTTTCGGAACATATTTCGGATCTCCTACATTTTGCAAGACTACGAAATGAAAGTTTTCAAACTTTTGTGCATCCACCATTCAATATTTATTGTGAAATTTTGCGATATTTGTAGCCATTTTGGTATGTATAACATAAATCATATTAGACAAGATAAAATAGTAAGTATGATTATACTCTTCATTTTTTATATATAATAGTATAATTAAATATAACTCCGCCGTGTAAGTTTATCTTACATTGCCGGTCCCAAGCCCGGATAAAGGAGGAGGGGGGAGGGCGTCAGGTAGTCGACAGCCGGCACTCCATGATCACGTCGAATCCTTATGAAAATGAATCCAGAACGAAATCGCGCTAAAGCTAGGGCGTCACCCGTAAGTGGCGCGCTGTGTGGCCTGAGCACAGTGATAAGTGAGCAAGGGTCGCTGTATCTCCATCGGCACCCGGATGCAGTGTTAAATGAGCAAGGGGGCTATAGAAACTTCTTTTCGAACGACTCCACTCAAAGTTGTTTGGGAGTATATGCTCCTATCAACTTTACACGGGACACACAAAAGAAGTACTTTGATCCTATTAGACGGGGAAGGGTGAAGAAGCTAGGACAGAAGGGTAGAGTTCAAGAGAGCAAAATGCGTTTAGGAACGTGGAATATAGGAACCTTGACGGGAAAATCTATGGAAGTAGTAGAAGTTATGGTGAGGAGAAGGATAAATATTATGTGCCTACAAGAAACTAAGTGGGTTGGTCGTAAGGCAAAGGATCTAGAAAACTCAGGGTTTAAACTATGGTATTCGGGCACAAATAGAACGAGAAACGGTGTTGGCATCATCGTGGACAAGACCTTGACACAAAATGTTGTAGATGTCAAGAGGGTTGGAGATAGAATCATGGCAATCAAGATTGTAATAGGACAAGAACTTATCAATGTGATTAGTGCGTACGCACCTCAAGTAGGGTTGGATACGAGTTCGAAGGAGAAATTTTGGGAAGACCTTGGAGACTTGGTGCAAGGAATTGCTTAGACAGAGAAGTTATTTATAGGAGGAGATTTTAAATGGACACGCGTGGGCAGGGAGACAGGCAACTATGGAGGTTTTCATGGTGGCCATGGTTTTGGGGAGAGAAACGAGGATGGGGAAGCTATCTTGGATTTTTGCAATGGCATTATGATCTCTTCTTAGCCAACACCTTCTTTAAGAAGAGAGAAGAACATGTGATCACCTACAAGAGTGGGTCGTCAAAAAACACAAATAGATTTTCTTCTAATGAGGAAAGGGGATCGTATAACTTGTAAGGATTGCAAAGTTTATACCAGGAGAGAGCGTGGCTAATCAACATCGCTTGTTGGTGATGGATGTACATATCAAAAGAGTGAGAAAAAAGAACAAGACTTGGAAGTGCCCAAGGACTAGATGGTGGAATCTAAAAGAAGAAAAACAAGTCATTTTCAAAGAGAAAGTAATCACCCAGTGTGTGTGGGATAGAGAGGGGAAGCTAACCAAATGTGGGATTCCATGGCTAGTTGTATCCGAAAAGTAGCAAAAGAGGTATTAGGAGAGTCCCAAGGGCTTTGCCCCACACCAAAAGGAATCTTGGTGGTGGAATGAGGAGGTACAAGCAAAGGTGAAGGCTAAGAAGGAATGTTGTAAAAGCCTTATACAAGGATAGGACCGATGAAAATGGTGAAAGGTATAGAAAAGCGAAGCAAGAGGCGAAGAAAGCTGTGAGAGAAGCTAAGTTAGCGGCTTATGACGATATGTATAAGCGACTAGATACCAAAGAAGGAGAGTTGGATATCTATAAACTAGCTAGAGCAAGGGACAAGAAGACAAGGGACCTAAACCAAGTGAGGTGCATCAAGGATGAGGATGGAAAGGTTCTT